GGGCGGGCGGATGGCCGCTCGGCCCTCAGGTGAGATTGTTCCCGGTTGGTGGACGGTTAAGACTAAATAAAGGAGAGTGGCGCCGAAAGCAGGGGTTGCAACAAAGCGAAGTTAGGCAGGACATCGTAGAAATGAGGACGGGTGAGCTAATAGGGTGGTGGGGGTTATGGAGAAAAACCATGGGGGTGAGGAGGCAACGGAGCTCGAATGCGGCTCACTGCAAGGAGCTCCACGCCCAAACTGTGAGCTGTGTCCTGCAAGGTAACCCGTATTTCTAGAACATGCAGTTCCCGGGGTGCCGGTCGCCGATAATGTGTCCTCCCCACTGTTCCTATCCGTCTGGTGTTAGGTCCAGCGGTCAGTAGCTGTCTGGTTGGTCCCCTTACAGCCTCATTACGTTGCCTGGACCCTACTCGCTACCTAGGTGTTGAAGCGGTCAGGAATCCTAAAGAAGGGTCGGCTGCCCCATTTGTGCAATGAGAAGGGCATGGGGGTTAGCCGTAACTACAGTATTAGTGATATTTGTACTAATACTCAAACTACTTTTCTGCCACTTTTGAAGCGCCGCGCGTATTGCTTCATCTTCTCAATTTCGTCCGTGTTGTGCCTCTGGAGTAGCTGTTTCTCCGCCCGTCTGCTTTCTGTTCTGGCGCCTATTACATCGAAGGGAGTCTTGACCATTTTATAAATAGCCTTCTCCTCTTTGCGGGGGACATTGCCAACAGCAGCAATTTCTTGGCGCTTGACTTGGTGGGAGGGTCGAGTAGTATGCACGCCATAGCTTTCTTCGTGACTTGGGGGAACCGTGCTTGTAATATAATAGAGTTCTCTTGAGACAGATTTTACCTGCATCCAAAACGTGGTCAAGCGTCCCGACGACCCGACGATGACTCTCCTCATTTTCGTCTTTCGCTCGAGGAGCCTCGATCACCATCGCGTCAAACTTGAAAGCTTTCAGCTTCTTCTGAGCCAGGCATCGAGATACTACCATGTATGACAATACTAGATTCTCACTCTGTGCCTCAATCAGCGCCACAATAGCGATCAAGTGTGTCACTGCCTCCATCTCGGTCGCTAGGATCCAATCCTCTGTAGACAATACAGACTACTAGACTCTTTCGTAGACTGAAAGTAAGCTTCCAAATGCTGCATAATTGACCACCGATCGTCTTATACGCTTGCACGTGTACGCGACTCTAACAACTTTGTCGACCATTGGGTCTAACTCGGGGTAGGAGAGAGGTTTTTGGATTTTCTTCAACGCATTGCGCTGCTTTGGCGACCTGAAGTGCTTGTTCGGATTCCTCAGCTTCTGAATGACGTCGACGCTCTCCTCCTCTAGATATCCACCCGGAGTTACAATCGCTACCACTTTGTCCCACGAATGACAAGCAGCATTCCATACACCGTTCGTTTGGCTGTTGTTTTTCACTCCGAGCACGTATCCAATGCACAGGTTGAGCAGATGCATAGAGCAGTCTTCTAGTTCGCTGTCGATGTGATCGACAACATTCCGCGCTGAGGGTGTCGTGTCGGACATAGTGAAGCGAGTCACAGCGCGGATGTCGATGTCATACTTCGCCTTAAAAACCACTTTTGATCTCTTTAGCGACAAGTGGAGCATTATGACCGTTGTCCTTAACAGTAGCTAGCATGGCAATGCTCTGAAATCTTTACGAAGTATCAATTAAGTCACTGAAGTGCCCACGATACTATCATTCCCACAGCTTGTCCAGACGTCGTGTACGAGATTCAAAAGTACTGGGGCTGTTGTATCGTACTCAGTAGTTCGTAGATCACCGAGCAGTTTACAAATCAGTTGAAATTGTCCATGAAGCAAGTGGTCGTGTCTATCGAGACTGAGCTTAGGAAACGCTGGATTGTCTGTTGCTACTCGCATCATCTCCTCGAAGGGCCCCGACCTGCAAGCTGGAAATGGTATTCCTTGAGTAATTAACAGTTTCTAAATCAGCACATGCAATGGTCCTCTCATTCGCTTTGAAAAGCCGTTGCAGTGACTTGGAGGTATTAATCCCCACAAGCGAACCAGTAGTAGCTGTCGCGGTATTAGTTGGGTCAGCGCTCGAGCCACCCATCAAGTCTAGCTTATATTGGGCGTCGGTTTCTGTACGTACGACAACGTCTATCGCCTTTTGAGCTGTAGTCTGCTCCGCTAGTATTACCAAAGAATGACCCATATGTTTTGACTTGATATGATCCTTGGCATTACTGGTATTCCTCGTGCTGCGCAAGGCTTCCTCCCAGCTATAGGGCGTGGTCTTCTTTCGGGCTTTAATCTCCTCACAACAAAGCAAGCAAATGTTGCGATAAACATGAGTAGACGGCTTCCACGGGTTTCACTTTTGGTAAGGTTGATCTATTACGAGAATTATAGCCCAAACAGAATCCATAGTGCCTACCTTCCTTGAGTGAGAAACCGAAAGAGGAGCCCCAAGGTCAGAGGCTGAAGATGCTGGCGATGGAGAAAGACCCGAACGGGAACCTCCACCCGACGACGTTTCTGTCCGTGGATTTGAGCACTTTTTTTGCCTATAGCTTCCGACGTTTCACTGGGCACCCCACCGCGGCGGTATCCGATCCTGAGGCGACTTCAGGAGACGACATGAAGTCGGAGTCAGAACCAGCCCATATATTACTCGATGCTGCAGAATCTGAGAGCAGAGGATGCTTCGAAGCTGTGGCTACGGCAGACGTAGATGGCCCAGCGCTCGGGTAAAATTTTAGTACGCACTGTTGGCTCCAGAATCTGCGACCCAGCAGAGCGTTAACCATTGATATTAGACTAAGAAATAGAAAAAGATACCTTTCGTCCAACGCGGAGCTGTCTCCTTCAAACACCATAATTGCTTGGTGTATGGGCTTTCTGCATACGCTACATGAATCCGCCTTGAGTTCAGGACCTTCCTCACAACCGGCAACAGCACAATCCATTCTTCGACTGTCGTCATTGATATGACGATCTTCTGCGAACGATGCAGGACAGCCACAGAATCTAAGATTGCAAAATGGGGGATATTTGCTCCTTCAGCATCTTTCTGGATTAGAGGACTATAGTACCCCTCAGGTGAGTATCACTAATACTCATAGTAATTATCATAATAGGCGGTAGCAGTACTACTACTACTCATATAGTATTAGTATTACTCTAGAATACTACCTTACCAAATACCCTGAACCTCTGCATATGCGTCTCGCTGAAAATAAGTTCATTTATCTAGGAAAAGCGTTGGACGGTTGGCTGAAACGTAGATCAGTCTATTATCCTAATATAGCCTAATGTGGACTAAAACATGCCCATTTTAGTTAAAATTAATTAAAATAGTAGTCCTATTAGGCGGTTGTGGTACGGGAGCAGCTCGGCGAGCAAGGCGGAGTATTGTTCCGACAGAAAGCTTGCAAACACGATGCTTACGAGACGAAGCTATCAGCAGTGGCAAGGCTCCATTCCTACTATGAAAACTTTCTCTGGCTTCTGCTCGGACATACCTACCCTTGTTTCGAATCAATGTTATCATCGTTGCGAGATGAAGTGCGTGTAGAGGCTTCCTGTCAAGTCTGGCGCGTTTCTGTGTCTGCCATCGAAACCACCCAACTGGTAGCCTTCCTTCGCAGTGTCAACTGCCAGCTTAAGTTGCAGCAACTGGACTTGCAGGTTGGTTGGTTGCGGGAACCACCTGAACGCATTGGTGGGACCCCCGTCCCCAAACAAAACCGATGAAAATGGCAATTATTTAGTTTTGATGACCGCAAGGAGGCAAGGATGTGATCTCTGTTTGGAAACCCACCGGCAAAGATAACTAGTTTAGAGCAGTGTTACAGAAGGGGCTTTCCGAAAGGGTCATTCCTGCTATCGTTCCTGCTGGAGGCAGCTGCATCGATCGATTAAAAAAGTGTTAGTACGTGGAGTCAATACACTTCACACACGGCGAAAACAAAATAAGGCCTTGGCACGCGTTCAGTGATCAGACCTCGAACGTTTTAAGGCCCATTGCTCGATCTGGGTGTTGGATGATCGTTTCTCGTGCTCGCAACGACAAGCCTGCCAGTACTTCACAGATGCAAAGTTGATGTGGGCCATCGTGCATGCAAGATACGTCGATGAGGTTATGCGCGCGCACCCTGGAGCACACACACTGAGCTACACGCGCTTTACGCAGTACAGGAATTTTTACTACCCTGGTGTCCGTTTACCTCGCACAAAACAAGACGTTTGTGTCGGCTTGAATATTCTGCTGCAGCAAGAAAGTGTGCGTGCTGACGACAAAGAAGCAGTTTTGTTAGAAAAGCAAATGGCCATCGCTCAGCGCCGATTTATTTCATCCTGCATTAGGCATTATGCTGCCAAAAGCGCTCCCAATCAAAATTTGCCCAAGGAAGTCATTCCAGATATGTATGAATCGGCAGACAGTGGAAAGTATGATGAAATTGAAGAAAGTGACGATTACAATGAAGTATCAGCAGGAGAGATGGTTGCGATCAGAGAAATATTCGAGTGCTAAAGAATCTAACTGCTGCATTTAAATACAAGCTGAGGATTTCGGCGGAAGTCTCTTCATGCCTTATTATGGACAGAGTCGTCCTTCAGCAGATTATTTAAACAGTAATTTGATCATTCAAAACTTTGTCGTCGCTGATATCTCAAACACGAGAAATAATGTGTACTTATATGACGAGCGTGCCCATGGCAAAACTGGGGACACATTATGCAGCCTTCATCTAATTTACCACATGAATAAGCTGCAGTCTAATGCCCGAATTGAAGTCCGTCCACCAGAGATCTGCCTCAGTATACTTGACAACTATGTGGTCCAAAATAAGTATAAAGCTGCGCTAATGTTTTTCGCTATGCTTTCGATTGTATTTCCTTACAAGAAAGTGGTTTTATGCCTTTTCTTGCCTGAACTCGCACAACATTGCTGATCGCGTCCTTGCGTAGTGTCGTGGTGCTATTCGCTGGTTACATCCATGGCAATTGTCGATGATGTCAACAGAGCCAAAAGCGTGAAAGCTACCTTTCTCGATCATTGAGATTCAGTCGCTTTTTCATCAAATGGAACGAACTACCAACCAAATATTTCGTGCCACTTCCTGCCGGAAACAAGTCGAACTATTTTTTGCGATCGACCAAGGAGTTTGCACACCTGGAAAGACGGTAATTCTTCGGACGAAGATGCGATTGTATTTTCGATGGTGCCGCATGGAGACATCACTGCAATTCAGAAAGCTATTATAACAGAGCTGTTTGGTCCAAGTGTACACAGCGTTTGGGAAGCTTCTGTGAACCATGTTCAGCTTCCGCGCCACCCAATCAAAACGCTATCAGACAAGAAAAAAAATCGTTGTCTGCAAAGTATTTCTCCATCCCTTCAGACTATCTCGACTACTATCCAGCTGTACCAGAAACGCTGATAAATTCGGCTGCTCTCAAAAGTGACCAGCCGCCTGCAACAATATCGAGACCACCGAAGCAGGCTACAAAGACTCGTTACCGCTCTCACTGTGCCACGAGTCATGTAATTCTACGCTGGTTCGACAGGATAGTGGCTTCCTCATCCGTTCTTAACGACTCGGTTATAACATGGTGTGTCGCTCAGAGTCTGTCCAGACCGTGTGCACCGAACTCTTGACGAGCCACGCTTGAGGGTTGTCTTTGCTACCGGCCTCAACAGTGGCAACCCCACTGCGTAGAATCACCATATCTGATAGTTTAGACTGGATTTCAGAATAGCAGAAGACCAACACTTAGTTGCCGGGCAAACTACCGGCAGGATGAGACATTGGGTCTGAAGCGGCAGAATGCGTAGTGCGTAGCCAAGAGGCTATCCAACCAATAAGAAGAGTTAAAGGCAATAGGATAATGAAAGCAGTTGTAAATCTACAGGTGAACGCATTGGCGGGCCCCGGGTCTGCTAAAACAAACCGGTAAACCTCGGTATGATGCAAAGAAAATACATGTTGAAGCGTGCGTTTATGCACTGCCCTTCACTGGGAAAAAGTGCAGAATGGATGGTTATCAAGCCCCAAGCTTTTTTTCCCTCTTTTTGGGTCTCCCAGGTTTGAGTATGGGTTCCAGATTGCTCGACTCTTGCATACGTTTCAATCCAGAAAAAATGTTGCCAATTCTTTCTCGTACTCAGCTGAAATCGCTTTTCTTCGACTTCTATAATGGCCCTTAATAGCACTGCGGTAGCCACGGAGGGTCCCCACGCTAACTGTTTTGGGCTTACATTATCCTTAACTCTCCATGTACGCATACATGTATGATCATGCGCATACCAGTATGCTCTGATAAAATGGAGAAGTGAGCGACATTAAAATGCTTTTTTAGCCTAGCAATGAAGGCGAAAAAAATCGACTACGTTCTCCTTTTTTCCGGGCTCAAACGCACTCGTAAAAGGTACGATGATGCAGGTCATAGCTCGCGTTGTTGGAAAACCAATCAAATTCGCGGAAGGATTGGCTTCTTTCTTGGCATGAATACAGAAGATCACAAACGCAAATTTGAGGTTGAATGGTCATGTAGAGCTGCCAAGACCGTAGCTGCACGGTCGAATTCTCTCTCCGCAGTACAAGAACGCAACCAGAGCGCGAAATCGCCTCGAATGTGGCAACTTTAACCTTCACAGATCCTCTACTTGGAGGCAACGAAGGAGCATCAATAGATATGGACGCTTTGTCGTCATCGTATGAAGACGAATTGAATTGCGAGAATAGCAATGAGCAAGAGGAAGACGACGGAGCTATCTATGCGAACGGAGAAAGTGGATCCCTCGTGAATCCGTTCTGGTCGATCCGGGACCCCATGTTCAACCCCATCGAGCTTGGCTGTTGTGTCCTCAGTCATTAGTTTTGGGCGACAAGACCCTTGCAGAATACTTCTATCTAATGTACCCAATGTCTACATTGAGGAATACAATACCGTCGACGAACCAAAACCTACAGAAGAAACAATACCGCCGTATCGATGGGGAGACTGGTTCAAATGGATAGGAATTCGATTAGCGATGGTCTTCGAGCCGCGTCGTGACCCGCTATCTACCTACTGGGACCATGCTTCACAGGACGGTAGCGTTAGCACGGCAGTCAACTTTGGACAGCGATTTGGAATGACAAAACATTGTTTTGAGCAAATTTTGAGCTGCATGTCGTTCGGTGAATCTATCGTAGAAGGCAATCCGTGGATGCCAATAAGACCTTTTCTAAATGGATTCAATGGACGTCGCCAGCAAGTTGTTTCGCCTGGAAGTGTACTCTGTAGATGAGTCAATGAGTGCGTGGAAGGGTAGAAAGGGGAAGTGTATTCATGATGACATCCCACACAAGGCAAAACATGTTCGAAAGTGTGAAGGTTTGGGTGCTGAGCTGAAGGCTATCGCCGGTGGTGACACAGGTATCATTTTGGACTTAGAACTCGTTGAAGGATTCATACGACGACGTCAGAAGCCATACGCAGCAGATTATGAAGGAACTGCAGTTGTGTTGCGGCTAGCGGAGCAATTTCGTGAAACAGGCCGTACCGTAATTGCAGATAGTGCATTTGCATCGGTGAATACATTTATTCAACTTGAGGCATGAACAGGACTTTTCTTCATGGGCATGGTGAAGACGGCCACAGTGGGGTTTCCTATGATGCATATAAAGAACTGGTTTGCTAGTGGTTCAAAGCGAGGCTTTTTTCAAAGTTCTATCCAACATCACTGACATGGGTACAACAATGTACGCAGCATGTTGGGCGGACAGAAAACCAAAACAAAACCCATTGCATACCGTGGAACAACGCTACCAGATAAAGATGCGGTTCGTCCACGACATCGTTTGAATGAGCGTGATGGAATAGTGTAGACACTGCGGTATAATATACGAGTTTCACGCCCGCAAATGATAGAGTACTTTTTTTGAAGTTCTCTACAGTCGATGTGCACAATCATTTGTGTCAACGAAGTCTAGCACAAGAGAGAGAGAGTGGGCAACAATGTATTGAGGCCATCATTTGTTTAGTACGCTTCTTGGAATGATTACTGTCGATGCGTACCTCGCGTACCGCTACGAGCCCGGCTAGGAGACAAGAGCCTACAAAGAATATAAATAAATGTTGACCTGTCGTTCGTGTCCGGAACGTCGGACGCACCAATCCCGTTGTTCTCATCAAGCAACTCGGCAGCCCTGGAAGCGACAGCGCAAGATGTAACGGATGCGCGTGTGCCTGCTAAGACGCTGCGAGCATATAGAGGAAGCCTATCTATTATCTCGCGATGGCTACAACCTACTAAATGGGACGAAGTCTACCAGTACTTCGCTGCTACAGGTGAAATCGATCTCACGCAATTCACATCTCGTGATTTCAAAATGTACTTAATAACCATTACTCTCCAGCTAGAAATTATACAGGTTGACAGAAGCAAAGCATAGCAGTATGCTCGGACAAAGTTAGTTTGTAAAGGAGTTTGTATTGAAATCCAAATGACGTTCAGGGGAAAGTCAAATTGAAATGGAGAGATGCTTGGTAAAGCAATTCCGCTTGGGTCGTGGCCCACAATAGAACACTCCCTGAGCTGTGTCTGAGCAATCTACACAATAGTATGAGGCTTTCTAGTTGCACAAGTTGCATTTACGCTGAGTACGATACTTTTTCTTTCGTGTTGCTGCGTACTGAGGAAGGCGGTTTAGTTGCTCGATATTATGAGGTGCAGGCATATCATCTTCTACTGTGGAGCCATCGGCATTGGTGCGGGTTACTCTAGCAGAATGGAAGTCACTGAAAATGAGCTGGTGGGGTAGTTGAGATAGAAACCCGTGATAGTCAAGTACGGTGTTCTCTGAATGGCTTTCGAAAGACCCAGAAACGGATTAAACTAACGCCGACGACAGCAAACGCGATCTAGCCAGCAGCTTGATATGCCCTTGGTTCGCAGAAGAGTTTTGAAGGTAGAAAGAAGACTGGTTTATTTATGTTATTCTTGTGTATTGTCCCTAACTGGAAACCGTAGTGGAACCATGCAATCAATTTTTTCTTTATATACAAATTCCATGATAAAACAATACAGCGAATGATGTGGATTTGGTCGAAAAATTTCCTAGATCACATACAAACGCCATATATAAAGTCTACTATTAACCACAACATTTTTTTTCTTAGTATGAGGACGAAGTAAACTACAATAGCATCAAATTCCGGTTGGTTTTATCGTTGAGTCCCCGATTATAGGGACAAAATTGAGTGTGCCAAGCACGATTGCCTCTGTTTGATATGACAGCTGAGTCACCTGACGCCACTTTGTACGAAATTAATTCTCATTTGATAATTCCATTGAACTCGAGGACTTTTGTCCTAAAGTTAAGGACAAATCGCCCTCTAGGTAAGCATTCCAGACACCTTGCCGCTTAGCAGCTCCCACTACAACACGTAGGCTAACCGAGAGTTGCTAGCACGGCTCTAGAGATTATGAAGGGCTACATTTCACTGTGTATCCACATTAGCATCTGCCAAAACTGAGGTCAAGCAAGGTCCTCAAGTTTTTGTCCTCTATTTTGTCCTGAGCTTTTTTTCTTGATGGAGTCAAGGCTTGGGAACTCGAATACCGCATTCAGTTGGCTACGGATAAGTACCGTAACAACTTACAGACAACGACGGCCTCTGCCATCTTCTGAATGCCATCCTCCATAGTAGTCCTTTTTGGCTACAGGACAGGAAAATCCGCCACAGCCAATTCACTGATACAGATTTTAAGCCTGCCAAGGCCGCCTCCGTTGTGATAGCTTCACAACAGTATGAAAGGGTAGATGCAAGGTCAGCAATACTTTGCTATGCTGCTCGTAGCGATCAGTCAATCATAAATTGGAAGTTTGTCAATGGTCCGAGGACGCTAAAACGGGGTGCAGTACTGTATTATCGGAATGGGTTTCCAAATACTGTATATGAGATGTCATACTTCATATTCTTGAAGATGTGGTGTTGGATTACCTTTTCATTCATTTTTGGCGCAACAAAGTATACTTATTTTAGTTTTTGCCCATAATCTTTTTTCGGTATGTACTAAGAGATCCCTGTGAATTTAGAGATTTCAAATACGGTACGGTATCGGTAATGATTGGAGCGATGCCCAAACATATAGACAAACGCTTTGGTATACGTGCCTGTTTATTTTATGGACCTTGGACGAAAATCAATCAGTCAGTCTCTTCGATGTAGTTACCGTTGACCCCGCCTAGTATAGAATTGCAAAGGCCAATGCCCTAACATCACATGAAATGTACGAACTGCACACAAGTCACAGAATCAGCAACATTATGAGTTAACTGGCACCGGCCAATCAACTAATGGTATTCTTCACACTTCCACTCCCACCACCTATCATGTACCATCACATTTAAAAGCGCTACTAGCATCTATCACTGTGCTAGCCAATGAGATCCATTAATTTACAAAATTTAGTCAATAAACAAAAAAAACACCCTTCCAGACACGACGGGTCCTTGGCCATGGTCTACAAAAATTTCATACCTCCGTAGGAATAGAAATCATTTGGATACCACACACACCTTACGGACAAAGTTCTACACCTTCAGCACATATCCGCCGGATTCACACCCTTTTGGACATTTTCCTATTGATAACTCCGGATTGAACGATATTACAACTGGGAAAATATCACCAAGCTCAGCTAATTTATGACGTGTTAACTAATATTTTGTTTTTGGTCACAAATGATAATATCAAATATCAACGTAGTACTTGCTTGAAATGTTATTTTCTATTCTAAATGACGTAAACTGGGGAGATAAGTCCGAATACGTCGACTGACAATATCGACATGAAGAAACAGCGTTTAATGCACTGTAGTCGATCTTGCCGTGTCGCCAGTGTAGCCAAAACCGATGGCATTCATGTAATGGTACAGCTCAAGACACTAATTCCTGTTATATTAATTTAAAAAGTGGCTACCCGATGGTAGCACTACAAAGAGGATGTTCTGTAGTAATACATACTTATTTTAGCATTTTCTAGTCATTTTTAATGTATCGTATTTATGAATTGTGATAAATGATTTTTGTAACCAATCAGAAGACCGTATTTGGGTAACTTTTGTTTAGAACTGTGACAGACGCCTGACACGCGTACGGTTTGTTATGTTTTATAGAGAAACAAAAATATTTTGTAGGAGCGTTTTAGGCTTCCTGTCAGCTATTTTCTTGATCTGTCTTGGCTCTCAGTCGTATTAAAGATCTTTCCAGCGGTCAGCACCTCCGTGACATTGTTGGACGACCCACTGTTTAGGATCTCATTTATAAACCCCTAATGGCGGAGACACGAGCATATGTTCCAAGCAAACTACCGCAGACCTCAGACCCAGCACTCACAATACCGACGACCACATCACCCACAAATTAGGGCCCACCCTAGTCGCCACTGCACGTGTCTTTCCTTTGCCTTTGCCGGCACAAATCATTGAATCGTCCAGCATGGTGTTTTCACCGGTGTTGAGGTGTTGAAGTTAGACTCGTCGTCTCTAACTCACGACTCATATAAAACATAATATGCATTATAATAAGGGCAACTTGCCTTTCTGAAACGGTTGACAATGGCCAACCTGTACTATGTTTTAGGCAGCAGTATAGAGTTTTCTAGTCCAAGGCGACCGAGTCGGTCCTCACAGACAGCCAGAAGTCTGTCTACCTGTTCCACTCTATGCCAGCGTCCTGGAAGGACGACCTGCGTATTTGGAAAGATAACCGGAAGTACATCCCGTATGACGAGCGCAAGACGAGCATCGAGGACAAGATCCGCAAAATGCAGGCCGAGACGCGCTACACTCTGGCGAAGGGTATCCCCCGAGAGCCGCACTACTAAGGGCGAGCGAGCTCTCCAGAAGCCTCGCCACGACATTCGGTAATGCTGCAGCCTACAGAAAGACCTGCGAGATGACACTATCAAGGCCGGGACCGTCCTGCCTGCGAACGTTGAGTTCCGCGGCGGTAACTCCAACCGGTTCCACCCCTACGAACGACGTGACAGAAATTCGGGCGTTGCCGCGGGTCTTCGCAGAAAGGCGAGCGAGGTCGGAACAACGGCGGACGTGGCGGCAACACCCGTGACAATAACAGCAAGGGACGCCAGCCTTCTCGCCGTGAAGAAGGTGGCTACGACCAGTCTCCTCATGAAGACGCTCGCATCGCCGCCGTCACGGTATGCCGACGGCCATCAGCCTTACGGCTCAAGCCTCCTCCACCTTCGACTCCAACTGGACTGTTGACTCCGGGTACACCAGCCACGTCACGCAAAATGCGGAGTGGTTCGTTTCCAAGATCGCTGCTACTGGAACGATAACGATTGGTGATAAGTCCGAGATCCCCATTGAAGGCACCAGTGACGTTGGGCTTTAGGTGGGGATTTCAAGGGAGGTCAACACCATCGAAGACTACGTGATGTGCTTTATGCACCCAACTGCGCTACAACCTTCTATCGGTTACTGCAGCCGTAGAACATGACTTCCGCTTTACGTTCCAGCAAACTGTGTGCACGGTGCAAACCGACCAACGTATCAATGTCAAGGCGAAGAAGTCGGCTACAGCGAAGCTATACCAGTTCAAGTCCACTCCGGTCCAGAAGCAAGAAGCTCTCGTGGCCACCTCCGGTAAACCCACTGCTATTATGCTCTTGCACAAAAGACTTGGCCATCATCATTCGTGTCTTACAGGCAGTCATTAAAGACCAAGCACTCCAAGGACTCGACGCTAACACCGTAGTTCCCAAAGTTAGTTTCTTTTGCTCTGCATGTACTTACGCGAAGTCACACCGCGCTGCATTTTCTTCAAATAAACGTGTTGAATGTGCTTCACAACCTTTGCAAAAAGTCCATTCTGATATCTGTGGGCCACACCCCGTTCCTAGTCTCAGTGACTGTGGCTACTTTGTTGTTTTTATTGATGACTTTACGCGCTACATGCTTGCGTACCCTATCAACGCTCGCAGCCAACTCTACTCTTGCTACAAAGACTTTAGGATGAAAGCTCTGAATACCTTCTGCTCAGATGTAAATACGCTAAAGTATCCAGGATTATAATTCGGACTTGGATGTTCAAGTGCTGCAAGCTGATAAAGCAAAAGAGTATGAGAAGCTGGGTCGCATAGTCTTTGAGCGGTACGGAACACACGCGCAATTTACAAATGCTTGCACACCACAACAAAATGGTGTCGCCGAGCGACGTATGCGCACGCGTCCGTGCCCTCTTACTTGATGCAAAGCTACTCAGCCATTATCGACTGAATTTGTTAGTCACGTGACTACACTTCTTAACATGACACTCATTGAAAACACGTACGCATGCAGTCCGTACGAGCTGCGGTACAATAGTAAACCAAGCGTTCAGTGCCTGAAGGGCTTTGGTTGCGCGGTGTACGCTCACATCAATGACATCTACAGGAATAAGCTAGATGCACGAGCAAAACGCTGTCTATACCTCGGTATTCCGAGCCACAAGAAGGGGTATCGTTTCATGGACGTTTCGACACGAGCCATAGTTTACAGCCGTGACGTCGTCTTTCAGGAAGACAGCTTTCCAACCCTTGAGAAAATCGACGACACACTTGATCCATTGCCGCTACCGGCTTATCTGGTTCGTGCTGCCCCGTCTGGTGATAGTCCCACGTCCAATACTCGAACCAGCCAACCCTCAAGGGTCGGACCAAGCAGTTCCCCGAAGGTCGGACCTAACGTCCCCCACCTGCAGCGACGCCGACTCCGCTGAATGATTCCACTGACAATGGTGAAAGCATCTATTCTTTTGTAACGGAGACGCCTTCAACACCTCAGAATCTCCCTGCCAAACGCTCTCAATACGAGAAAGCAGTTAACCTTACAGAGCTTACATCAGCGGAAGATATTCAGGAACATAAAGAACGTACAACTCAAACACTTAGCCTACTTGCTATTCGGTATGTACCTGAGCCTACGGCGTATAAGCAGCCATGAAGTCTTGCTACGGTAGACAATGGTGTATTGCTGCTGAGTCAGAATTTGCATCCCTCATGACTAATGAGACGTGGATTCTGGTTCCACCTCCTCATGACCGCCATGTTCTTCAAAACCGGTGGGTCTTTGTTGTCAAGGACACTGGGTCCGGTGAACTCGACAGGTTTAAGGCACGCCTAGTTATTAAAGGCTTCCTACAGCAGTATGGCATTGACTACAATGAAAGCTTTACACCTGTTATCAGGATGGAAGTCCTTCGACTCCTCCTGATCATAGCTGCATTGCTAGACTACGAGGCCCATCAGAAGGACGTAAAAACAGCTTTCCTTATCTCTGAGGAAATATACATGGCCCAGCCCGAAGGCTTTGCTGCCGCAGGCCAAGAGCATCTTTTCTGCAAACTCTTAAAGAGTCTCTACGGCCTTCACCAAGCGCCTCGCATTTGGTATTAGACACTGTGTGCCTTCCTTGAGAGCCTCGGCTTTCACAAGCTGATCAAAGATAGCTGTGTCTTTATAGCAACTTTTGATGACCAAGTATGCTACATTGCCGTCTATGTGGACGATCTGCTTATCATAGCACCCACCGTAAGCCTCGTATGCCGTATTAAATCGGCCCTGAAACAGAGATTTTCAATGACAGATTTTGGGGGAGGTGAAGTACATTCTCGGCTGGTCCATTCAACAGAACCGTGAACCAAAACGATATTTATCCACCAACAAAAGTACGGGCCACAAATGTCCTCGAAAACTATAAATATCTCATGTCGTACCCTACGGCGACGCCCTCAGATCGCTCACGAAAACCATGGAGCCTCAAACCCAAGAAGGGATGGATACAATGAAAGACATTTCATATAGAAAAGTCGTAGGGAGTCTAATGTACCTCATGGTTGGCACTCGCCCCGATCTAGCAAGCTACGTGCGCGAATTCTGCCAATTCCTAGTAAACCCTGGAAAGGAACACTGGTAAGCAGTGGTAAGAGATCTAAAATATCTATCTGGTACGACTGACCAAGGTCTGCTATTTGGTGGTTCAATGTCAGTCGATGCTAGTAACCCAGCTGATCATTAGACAGCTTACACAGACTCTGAGTATGATAATTGTCCTGACACTTGAAGGTCATTTGGCGGATACGTCACAATGATCGGGACAAGTCCCGTCTCATGGCTTTCGAGGAAGCACCATACTGTCGTGCTGTCGACTACAGAGGCTGAGTACATTGCCTTATGCCATTGTATGCAAGAGGTCATCTTCCTCTTACTGCTACTCAAAGAGCTAGGTTTCTTGACAACCAAAGCCAATGTTATCAAAGAGGAGAATGAAAGCTGCATTAAAATCGCTAGTAACCCGGAACTACACGGACGATCAAAGCATATTGACATCCGTTACCATTTTGTTCAGGAAAAGGTAGAACGACACAAATTCAGCGTCGCTTACTGCAACACCAAGTCAATAGTAGCAGACATCTTTACCAAGTCACTTGACAAGCATCAGTTCCGGAATTTAAGAAGACAATTAGGAATGCAATCATTTAGTGAATTAGCAAATAGATAGATCAATAAACACGGTCGAATACATATTCATTTCAAAATATCAATGAGTCACAGGACAATGTGGGGTTTCCCCTACAATAGGTTTACCCTCTGCATCCTATAGGTTTTACCCTCACTGAGGTTTCCCTGGTACACAGCCACCGAATAAGCTAACAATAATAATGTGAAATGAATGACAAAGTCAAGAAGCAAATGTATTATCTGCTTAAGCCTCCAGAGCTACCTTACGCACAAACATAAGGCTATTGATCCACTCGCCATATTGCTCCAAGCTGCTCTTGACTGACTCATCATGAGCGGTGCACTTGTGAACCTGCACCTCCAGGACGAACGCGTGCCCGACGCCCATGGTGTTGCTGGCAGCCACAATGTAGAATCCGTCTTCGAGTTTCAGACCCTTGATGCCAGCGATACCACGGTGCCAGTACGCTGCCGGTTGTACTCAAAATCCTTGAGCGAAATGTGCGACCCAGCACGCTTCACCTGGGCCAGAAAGGCCTTGAACATCTTCCAGCGGACACCGCGAGACAAATCAGCTCCATGCTTGTCAGCATCAGCGAGAAATCGCTCCACATCGGTGTCCGGCACTGCTGATGGCTCACCCAGTAACTGCACAACTTGCTGCAGCGGGTTCAACAAGCAGGTCCGCTCGGTTGGCGCCAATAAGCGTCGGAACGTCCTTGTTATGTTGATTCGAGGACAGCCAGGGCATTCTTACCGATGTATGCGCGACGGCATCACGAATCTATCGCTCAATCTGAGAAGGGCGAAACAACAAGCCGTGGGCATCGGCATGCCTCTAAAACAGGTATGTCGATATCGTCAATGTCGGCTACCAGAAAATCGCTATCGACTGCAGCTGCTTCTCGATTCCGTTTTCCGAGTGCTCGGTTTTCATGGCAAACTAGTGCAATATCTGTTTGTTGAATCGGTAGTCCGTTCACTTTTCAATCGTCATCTGAAATCGCTGAACGTTAAATAAACATTATTAGTACTTACGTTCGAGGTGTGGGCACGTGGGTTGTTAGAAGGGTTAGCTTCAAAAACCAATCATTGATTCTGTTGGTTAAGTAGCTCTAGAGCGTTGAGGACGGTAACGCTGATCGATGCTTCAGTCTGTTGCATAATTTAGTCGTTCGACAGCAATTACTGTTTCGGTTAGAGGTATGTTGTATATTTCCGCATCTTGGCGTACGAGAAGGTGTGCAGTGCCGTTCCGCATGCTGAATCTAGTAGCCAGACCCTACGTCCATTGACGACAGGCACTATCTGATTCTCGTAGAAAGGTGATTGGGTGACGACTGAACATGCGCTGGTCCAACGAAGGCAAGTGTTCCTGCCGAAACTTTCTGTGTAGTCATGAAGACGTTGGGGAAGGGCAGAAAGCCAGGTGGATGGTTCGTTGAGTACAGGAACTGGGGCTTTCTCGAATCGTAGAAAAAAACTGAAAATGTAGTGGAGATCTTGAGCTCGGCGTAGCTGACCCTTCTTAAAGTTCTGATCTGGTCTAAGAATACACGCACATGCCAACTCCTATCATCTATCCGGAAACTCGAACATCCTCCGAATGCTCTCCACGCACTGCGACACAATACTCCAAGTGTGAAAAGCCGACCTCAACATTTTTTTTGTATTTAATATCCTCGTATTTTCGATAGCAAAAGATCGAAAAGTTGTTGTGTATTCGGGCACGAGACTTCGGTTACGCAACGACAATCCGACTCGATGACGACTAGTTAGTCCTGGGTTTGACACTATTATTGCACAAGCACTTCGAACCACTAAACCACTAAGTATGTGAATATACATCCGAACGTGAGTAAAAAGGATAAGTAGCTTCCCTAATTTGACCAGCATCACTGCCCACCAGTGACAAAAAGCGTTCAAGTATATGTCTCAATACTTAAGTGGTTAAAAAAATCAATCGCTACAGTACTTTCCTACGGGTTTGGTTCGTATGTGTATGTGCCGTAAGTTGGTTCCATCGTCCAGATACGGCCAGCCGCCATGTGTTGCGCTTGTTGACACCCAGGCCCATCGCGGTCAGTCTCCTGGCAACAAGCCCACCGCCCAGCAATTAGTGTGCCGCCGACGTAGTACGCAGTATGACGTCGACAACCTTCAAGACTGGCTGTGATTTCATAAACGAAGGCGGCACCACAACGTGTACAAACTGTTGTCTCTGAACGTACCCCAGTACCCTCGCTTTTATTGTCTCGTTTTTCATTCTCGAGGGCGTAATGAAGTGCGCTGGTTGTAGCGTATAGCAAGAGGCTCCCATCGTACACGATTGGGACTGATGAATTAGCACGGCAAGCTGCCAGTTTTCGTATTGCTCCGAAAAGGACGTCTGTCATGGGTACTCCTCGTACTCGTTCAGCTCGCATATCCAGTGCCAGCACACGACTGGGTTCGTCGAGGCTCTCTTTTACCAGGCTTGGATACACGTTGAATTGTGTGGTACCAGCTACGTCAACGACCCAGTCAGGTAAGTCCAGTGTCTCTGGGTCCTCAAGAAACGCGAATATCATTGGCTTTCGGCAGCGAGTGGCGTACGCAAACTCGAGGTGACAATTTACAGATACAAGATAAGCCTTTGTGAGGAAGACAACCATACAAGCTACACTCTCCACAGCTGCAGCCATCGCAGAGTTCACGTTGCCTTGCATGTGGCCATACACATCGAACCACGCTCGCAAATTATGTACTTGGCCCTGTTGGTGGATTTTTAACACAGTGTGCTGTGACCCCCATTGGTACGAGAACATGGCATCCAGTTGAAGCCCGATAATCGGCAGTCCATCATTGTTTAATACAGCCGGTGGCGCCACGAAACCCTGTCTAGTGACTTCGTAGTGGATATCTGATAAAGGCTGGAGAGACTTGGTCTCTTCGGTTTGTTCCGCTGGTAGTAAATCTACGGGTTTCGGTTCGTCCAAATGACCTGTGGCTTCAATTTCAACAGCTTCTCGTGTTGTAGCAACTCCCAGCTCGTCCAAGCTTCTGATGCTGTCATCATCACCGGGGTTTACCAACTCTCCTACTCGTCGACACAACGAACCAATGGCAATACTCGAGAGTCCAAGGACTTGAGCTCGTTCCTTGGCAATGCTTATCGCTGCGTTTTCACGTGACGCGATCTGCGAGCGCTCCAGTGTTCGATGTGGAGCTAACAAGAGACCGTTCGCACACACCACAAAGTCTGTTGCCAGACAAGAATCCTTGACTTTACAAGGACAATCGGGGATATTCGCGTATGGTGTATCAACAAGCTCAAGATTGGTTGCGTCGACCTGGTACCAGAGCCGTCCTGCCATAGCTAGTGCTAACCATCCACGAAGTGATGCACGCTGTTCTTTGATAGGAAGCAGCGGTATATTCCACGCTAATGCGTGTTCAAACAACTGACGAAAACACATCGCATTATCATCTTCAGCAGTGCAGGCCTCTGTGATGACGAAGACAACCACACTTGCTTCTCTAAGAGCGGTGAGATCACTCTGTATGTTGTGCTGGCAGCGAATAACTTCTCCATCCAATGAAATTCCTCCGGGGACGAGCTTAGCGTGCGCAAACTTCTCGATTACACGCTCAGATTCTCCAGTGTCGTCGATGCAGAACACGAAGAAGATGTGCGGAGACAATGAGGTCTCGACAGCACAGGACGTGTTAACATTGACGCCCTCCAACTCATCGCTGGTATCATCTATATCGTTCGCTTCAGAGCGGGTCAGAAGCGCGTATTTCTCTGCCCAGTATGCTAGTCTCGAGGGTTCGGCAAATAACAGCGGATCCCATTGATTGAGTGCGAGACACACTGCACCAATAGCACCTGACGGTCGAGAAAAGAATGTCAACGGTCCGGAGATGACCGTCTTCCTCTGGTCCTTGAGATAAGACAGGGTCTCGATTAGTTCAGAACTGCGTTGAAGCATTGGGTCAATCGCAACGAAAGCTGTTTGAACTCGAGAAATCATGCCGGCGCGTTGCTGGCGATCACGTGGGTACGAGTCGGTAATGATCACAACGTCGTCAACATTGTTGATCTCTCCTCCGTCTTTAAGAAGACCTCGCAACGGATCGTTCTGGGACGAGTGACACACCACCACCGCGTGCGGTTTGCCACTACCACCTTCGCTGCAAGTTGACGCGGCACTCCCCATGACTCCGTTACCACAATTAGAAGCTACCTAGAACTTATTTTTTCATACATGAAACGATCGATAATAATTATTTATTAGTTGACTATCCTATGTCGACATCGGTGCGGGTTTTGTATGTTAGCCGAATGCCTATCGTCTCCTCCTGCAGGTCCAACAACAAGCATGGTTGGTGTGCTACAGCGTGTTCCGCAAAGATTGCAGCATCTCGTTTAAAGACTGTAAACACTTTTGCGTCCGAGACGAGCCTCGTCAATGCAGCGAACTCCAGTTGTCTCACTTCGGCAGTGACTAGATCCAAATTGCCGACGTTAATAGGTGTATTTTTGAAGATGGCAGGGGCTGTCACACCACGATGAGCGTGTTGGTCGTCGGGGTTGCCTACTGGAAGCAAAGAAGGATGACCGTTCATGTACTTCATCACAATTGGACGGAGACAAATTGCAGAATGAAAAGAGGGGGCTTCATGCAAGGTATGCGGATTTGGTATACATGTATCATCAATTGATTGTCTGCGATTTACGCAGAAATATTTCGGATTGCATTGTGGTAAAGTATTAGAGTGGTCTTCAATAATATTATTGAAGTTGGTGATACCATGATATAGCATAAATACGCTATATTACGGTTAAGTGATTAAAGCTCAGAATTGTGTCGCCACTTCGACAACAATGGGGAGCAAACCCGAGACGTCCGCTGAGGCTCCTGCGCCTCACGCCTTCCCCTTTTTCTCTGTGCTGGCAGTGGGACTTGTGGCGGTAGTGGCAGCTGCAGTGGCCGTAGTGGACCCTTCCGAGCTTCGCCAGCTGGTGTCCACCTACACCGGTGTCTCCTTCAGCAACACGACCGTCGATGGCGTGGACTGTACAGTAGCCGAGCAGTATTTGACCGATGTGCTTCCTGTGAAGGGCTTCCACGTTCTCTGCATCCAGAAACGTCCGGAGGGAGAGTAAGTGGACGTAAGAGGACCTTGTCAACTCTGTCACTTTATACTAATTGGACTCGTTTACAGTCTGGGTATTACTGCTTTCAAGCATGGAAATGCGCCGTCCATGAGGATTCAGAGTAAAACTGAGTTTACAGACTTGAAGACGCAACTGGAGAAAACGTTGGAAATTCAAGGGCCGAAAGATGAAGTTGCTAGGCAATATAAGCAGCCGTACGCATTTTTCACCCCCGAAGGCACGAAACTTGAGAGACTGGATGAAATGGTGAACCAAATCATCTTCCTCTTCGAAGGAGGTCAGTTTGTCTGGCCGGGTATTCGAATCGGTCACAAGAGTAAGTTTGTGAATGTTTGAGAAGTTACAAAATCTCGGAATCTAACAATGAAATTTTGTAGCTTTGGTTAAGGACGTGGCTGGCAAGGGCGACGTGGTGCTTGAGACTTTGAGTATGATTCCTCTTGTCTTCAGTGTGGAGGAATTTCTCAAGGACGACGAGATTGACATCATCATGGACTTGTCCTTGGAACATCTAAAGCCGTCGACTGTGACGCTGATGGACGGACATGAGAACCGAGCAGCCACAGACTGGCGAACGAGCACGACGTACTTTTTGTCGTCGAGTAAACACCCAAAACTTGGTGAGATTGATCAACGAGTAGCAGACCTGACGAAGGTCGCAATAGATCATCAGGAAGACGTGCAGGTGCTTCGTTACGAGGAGACGCAGAAGTACGACCATCATACGGACTATTTCCCGGTGGAACACCATAAGAACTCGCCTCATGTGCTGGAATCCATCGACTATGGCTATAAGAACCGTATGATCACAGTGTTCTGGTACATGTCGGACGTGGCCAAGGGCGGTCACACGATCTTCCCGAGAGCGGGTGGAACACCTCGACCACAGTCGATGAAAGACTGTAGTAAAGGACTGAAAGTTCCTCCGAAGAAGCGTAAGGTCATTGTTTTCTACAGTATGCTGCCCAATGGAGAAGGGGATCCCATGAGTCTTCATGGCGGATGTCCTGTCGAAGACGGCACCAAGTATTCTGGCAACAAGTGGGTGTGGAACAAGGCGAGGAACTGAGTTTAAAAAAGTTTCGATGAGGTTTGATGGACAATACATGGAATGAGCTAGCCACACTGTGGTATTTTAGGGACTTGTTTTCTTTTGTAGATCATCCTAATGGGTGTGTGGAAGTAAAAAAAAAAATATCTTAAGAGATCCTAGTTTTTTTTTTTTTTTTTTTAGCTGGAAACAACTTTCTGCTATTGCTCTAAAAAAAAACTCAGTCTCATCGAATTACTCCATCTATTTGCTTGTTGAAATGCATCGTCCGTCGTGCTTTTGTTGGTCACTTATCCAAAGCGTGCGTATTTCCCGATTAACACTGACTTCAGAAAAAGCTCCGGTGCCCATTGCGCTTCTAATACTTTTACTTATTCTTTTGCACGCTGGACGTTTCAATTTCGTGATGGGGAGCTTGTCTGGGCAACGGCACTTCGAATCGACATGCTCTCACAAAAAAAAAGATGTAGAGGACTCCGGGTTTGACGGGGATAGTTTCCGGTATAGATATACAATACTTTACCACAACATACGCTTTATTATTAAAACTCGCTCTTACTAGAGATCGCACTTCCCAATTTTCTTCGAGGATGTAAAGACCAAGCGTCTCAGTCTGTTGTCTGTCGGAAGCCACTATTCGTACGACCAACATCGTGTTTATCGCTTCGGCTACTCTTTGCGGGCTGCGCGACGGCTTCCCTCACTACCGACTCGTTAATTTCGTTCTTCCGTGCAGTCTCCCGAAACAGTTGAGTTGGAACGCAGTGGCAGCAGATTTTAACAACATCTGGTGGCGAAGATGTCGATAGCAATCCCTCCCTGGAGTGTTTTAGCGAGGGAGATGACGTGGCTGCGAAGCCCCACATAAAAATTGTGCTGCCGCTGTCATCATATAAAGTCCACGGGGATCAGACTAACGCAGCATCTGCTGGCCAGCTCTGAAGGGGTCCAACTTGGGCCCCTTTGGCGACCCAATTTCTGCGTCTAAACGGCGCTATCCCTTGTCTCAATCAAATTTGGGTCATTTGTAGCATTTCAGTTTAACCCGCTCTCTTCCAAGCAATATCCCCCGTGTGACTGGAATTTGATGTCGCACCCAGCCGACACAAGCAACATTCACGTTCCTTTTTTTGAGTTGTTGTGCTGTTATACAATATAACATTCTCAATCTTATCCTCAATGTACATTTTTAATCTCTCTCAAAGCAAGTAACGCCACTTTTGGCAAGAAATACAGGAGTCGCTCCTATAGAGGGCAAAGTATCTGCCCATTGCAGATACTTTGCCCTCTATTTAGACCTCTAAATACCACTAAATCCGAGTTTTCATGAGACATGCAAACTCTATAGTGATTTCACTTTGAGGAAGCGGTCTGATTTGGTACAGTGAAGTCGTTTTTGCCCTGCTGGAGGGCAATTATGCGTTTTAAACTCGCAACTAGCATTTATGTAGGAGATACGAGTTTATAGCTCAGCTGATCGAGTTAGAAATGTTTTTTTTATAATCAGTCGTAAGTGAGACCTGGCTAATTTAAACTCAGGTTTATAACCGAGATAATATAAAGGCCTGGGCCGAAATATCTGCAATGAGCAATACACTACGTAGTACAGTTCCATTTGTGTGGGAGAGAGAGCTTAGTATAGCGATTTTTTTTAGTATTGAGAATAAACGCATAGAGTTTTATTTAGGCAGAACCGCACTTCTGTAAACACTCGAATATAAAATCAAGAGACTAGTCTACATGTAGATGTAGTATACAGAGAAAATAACAGGTAGTAGGACAAGGGCGATGATATAATTTTCCGCTCAAATGCGAACAGCATGAACGACAGCGTGAATCGATATTCTCATTTTACACAAAGCTGTACAACCTCGTTAGCTGGTTCGTACCAAAGTGAAGCGCCACACACCCTTGGATTCAGACTGTGCTGACCGGTTGCTTGATAAAAGCTTTGTACCTTGCAAACTGCTCGGAATTCTTGAAGTATCCCAGGTTCTTAGCCTTCTCAGGGTTTTTGATCTTCGCATAAATGCGCATGAATTTCTGGACTTCCAAACTTTTCAGATCATCGGGGCCACGTAGGGGGTTCTTCTGAATCTTTTTCGCAGCAGAGAGGTTATGGCGTTTCGCTTTTGCTACAATCGCGTCAAACTCTTTCTGCTTCAGATTGAACATCTTGGCGATTTCTCTCTGCCCCGATATCTTCGCGCGCTCTTCGTTAGCTTCAGAAAGCTTCAAGTCGTCATCTCCCTCGTCGTTGACTCGAAGGAGTCGCGTGTGAGACGTACCATCACGGACCACAAGATCAGGATCGGCTTTCGTTAAAACACCAGGCTGGTTAGCAATCACTGAGCTGCTGGCAAGGACTGCCAACACTATGACAACGTTGAATACTCCCCGCATTGCGGCGCCTAGCGGGTAAATGGTAGTGTTTTGTCCGCGGCAAAACTCAAAATGAAGACGGTTCTTTCCCCCGACCAGGCCGTCGACGCTGCCAGGTGCCGCCGTTGACCCGTCCGGTTACAGTAAACAAGATACCCAACTTCAGACATCAAATTGTTGAAGTTGTTGTGTTGTGTGACCATTTTATGCTGGTGTAAAACGTATATCTTCGTTTTTGTATTGCAAAAATGTCTATATAACTGTTGAACCTTTTACGGTACGAATTAAGAGATCTCTCAGAATGTTTACGGTTATGTTGATGCAATAATGATGATAATCGGGCACCAGGATAGGGATCGGGTATACCCATTTCGAAAAACCAACGGGCCGAAAGCAAGAACCCGATTGTACGTACATTAAGCACACTGTGGTTTATTTGGGCGTTTCAGTTTCAAATCCATAGTCGTGCAGTTCGACTCGACGAATTCTAAAATCTTGTAAACCTCCAGGTAATCACTGATACCGCTGTAAAGGTAAAAGTAGCGTTATCAAGCTATATTTGAAATTGTCAAAGTGGCTTGCTCCGGGTGTCCTTTATATGCGACTGCCAATGATCAGCCCAGAATTGTCTAAGAAGATTGGTATTTGATGCTTTGTATGGTTAGATATGGTTTTTGCGAGCTAACAATTGGATGTTGCAGCGGGTGCACTGTCACCTGTCCAAGGGACTCACCCACACGAAACTACCACAAATTGAAGGCCTGGGCCACGCTTTATCGAGGGATTTCCACTTGCTAGTATTCACGACAGAAAACTCGTCTATGGCGCTATCCGAAATGAGTACGTTATGCTTATTTATTTCTGGTGCCATGGCACTCATCAAGTGGGACAGTATATATATATATATATATATGCCCACAAAAACGTAAATCAATTCGGATTGTCTATGGCATAGCTCTAAGCCTGCTAATTGCAGGATATAACAAAATCGTAGCAACCAATAAAAATAAAAAAAGAAATGACGGATAAACATGGCTAAGACTCGCTCGTATATCACGATATCCGGTCGTACTCGATAGGACAACTTCCTTTTCATATAGTTCATTGAAACTTGCCACAATGCGATGATAGAAAAAACTAAGTGAGGTCGAATTTAAAGATTTTGCTTACTGGCAGTACCATTTCAGTACAACTCACTCTCAGTGGAAATAAGTGCATCGTCAGATAAATCCATATTTGAAATATTTCTTTCGAATCCCACCTAATTTTAACACCTTCAACCCGAAAGATTTTTGTTGCCTTTTTCTAGCCTACGCTGTATATGCATGGTACGTTTTTATGGGTTTCACTATACCCTAGGGGAACGGAGTCGGATAGGACGTGCGAGAGTCCGTACCAGTAGGGGTTGGTTGTTACTTTTGCTGTATATATACCCGTGCATAGGAACCTCTATCCGGTATAACTACAGCTACACATGAGCTATGTACGCTGTTACAGCTGTGCTAAAAACGGTGTGTTGCCCACTCGTCCGATTATGTTGCATGGACCAAGCCTCTTACCAGTCGGCTGGCGCGAGAGCCGCGGATCTGTAGAGAAATTTTTCACTAAAACTCGAGAAAGCGTGCATTAGATAGGCTACTCATAAAGCTATACTTTTCGCAAGTAAAATATATCGTCCATTGAGCAATCAATGATAACGATATACGTATCTAGCCAATCAGACCTAGCAAGGTCTTGGATGGCCTGGCTACTGCTTGATATCAACTAAGTGTGAGCGATTGAGCTCTCTGAACAGGCCACACCCCACAGATGACAAGTGCCTTTTTGAAAACTTCTTTCATAAACAAAACGTATAGCTTAAAGACGAAACACGAACTTTGTTCACAAATCCATTACTACTCGAACCTACTTGGGTTCTTCAGAACCATCGGAGTCTTCAGAGTCTTCCGATTCTGCAGAGCCTACGCGTCGACGCTTGGCTGGCAACTTCCCTGGAGAGCCCACCAGCCTCGGAGCACCCACGCGGAACTTGGTCTTCATGGCCTCTGGAATCTCTTTACCGTTCTTGGAGATGGTGTGCCAAATCTTTCAACAGCTCATCATCTCGTTCGCCTCCAGCCACTTTGGCTTCACACACAAATAGATGGGTCCTGCGAAGTCACAGCTATCGCAGAAGTAAGTAGTAGTAACCCCGCGCTTGCCTGCCGTTCTCATAGCGCACACTTTGCAATTTTTCTGGGCTCGCTTTCGCTGTCCAGAGTGGTCACGCCAGTCGTTGTTTTGCTTGGGACTGTGTCCCGTAGGCGCTGCTTTTTGAGCATTTTCATCTTCTGCAATAGCGTCTTCGCCTGTACATACAGCTCAATTAAGTTGTATATACAACATGAGGATACATCATAGGAATTACGTACCAGGCAGGAAGGCGCTTTCTTCGTACATGTCTTCTGCAGTGAGTGCAATCAACTGCTGGTGCAGAGCACACATGTACCGGACGTGAGTCATTCCCTTGGTCTTCTTGCTTTTGCAGTATGCACGATGCACGATGAACCAGTTGGTGATCGCAAGATCGACCAACCCCAGAAACAGAGACTTGTAGTACTTCCGGTACGTGATAGCCCGCTGCACTGAGTATCGTTGTAGACGGAGTTGATCGTGCATATCAACTCCTCCCATGAAACGTTGATAGTCCTTGATCACCTAAGGGCACGCAATTTAGTTTTGCTCCCCTGGCTTCTCCCGGCGAGCCACGCGATCAAGCGAGAAATTTCCACCAACCGAAAGAAAGTGTACAGGCTTTCTATCCAACCAGCAAATTGCAGTCATATTGTTGACGTGCTTGGACCGTGCAAACGTCACTGTGCCACGCGGGATGTCTTTGGGTCTCTTCTTCATCTTGGCGACCACAACCTTGCAGAAGCCTCGGCAATTTGTCATAATGGTTCCGATAGTGTAAAATCCCATAATCAAAAGCTGGACTGCAAGAACGATAGAAGTGTAGAACCGATCGACTACAACAAGCCTCATCGACTTGCCAGTCGGTTTTTCTCCAAAAATCGCTCTCTCACAACCGCTGCTGGACCAGACTTCATATCCACAACTCCAGATTCAGCAATGTGCTGCTATTGACCACAGTACTCTTCAAAGCTGTTACACGCAACAATGTATATACAGCATAAGTAACACATACAATACAGCATAAACCATTTGCACTCCTACCGAATGCAATAAGCAGAGTGCACACAGCACAGCATGAACAGCTTCGTACCCCACTTCTGGGGTTTATCTTTTATGAACATTCGAGTTCGGTTATATGATGATCTGGACGGGAGCATCGCCTCATCAAATGACAGTTCTGCAGGAGGAATGTAGGATTCCACGAAGGTCTGCTGTAACATGGTGACTACGGATCGAATTTTCCAGGCTCGGTCGGTCTTCGCACGAGGATCCTGATTGTTATTAAAGTGGAGATTGCGCGTTATCTCTAAAAATCTGTCTCGTGTCAAATACTTCCCGATAATCCCCCGTGAGATCGCGCCGATATCATCTTGATGCCAGTGATTGGCCATCTTCTCACGATTTGGCATAACGGTCCTGGCGACCAAGCGCCCAATGTATACACACAGTTCATGTGGTAAAATCGGCTTGATTGAGAAAAAATGTTGCCGAACATCTCGTCGAGTCTTCGACTTCTTTGTTGGAGTTACAGTTTTTCCAGCAGCCTTAGCACGTCTCTCTCTCTCTCTCTCTCTCTCTCTCTCTCTCTCTCTCTCTCTCTCTCTCTCTCTCTCTCTCTCTCTCGATGTCTTCTTTTCGAAGTACGTATCCACTCGATTATCCAGTTGCTCATGCATGTAGACATTGCTCCACTCGGCAATGTGCTGCCAGAAAATAGGATGCAGTGTCAGATGCACACACTAGCATGAATCGACAAAATGAAAACAATTCGTGCAACATACCTGTTGGTGACGCCAGATTTGGTGACGAAAATGTTGGTTGTGGTCGAACCTGGGATGCGCTTGCCGGAGACGCACTTGTGGTCAAGTCTGTATCATACAGAATAACAAATCAGGATATACAGCATAACAAATACAGGTTAATGATAAGTAGATGCAGTGTAACCAAGTCGTGTACCTTGTGGGCCATCATGCACAGATGACTGAAACGACATCCGAATGGGTGACTGGAACGACGACTTCCTCGCTGATGAATTGTCTAACTGCTTACTCGCAGCGGACTTGGACCTTCGTGCAGGAGACTTGGACCTTCTTGCTGGAAACTTGGAAGATGACCTTTTTTTCGCTGGCGCCTTGCCCGCAGATAACTGACGCTCGGTACTCGATGGACGTTCTTCTGGTGTCGCTTTGGCGGCATTAGCTGCGCGGACCCGATCAACAGCTTGCTGCCGAACCACTGTGCATGCGATACATGTCATTAGAACTCAGATAACACATCAATATATATACCTTACTATTCGTAGCGTGGTCCACCACAGCTTGCTCTCCTAGGACGTAGTCGATCCCAATAGTGCCGTTAGCATTGCCGTCACGCAAGATGTACTTCCATCGCGTTTCAATCCCGCGAGAAGGGGGCGGCTTGGAGGTCCATCCTCGTTTCTTGAATTCAGGCCATATGAGCCGGAAGTGCTTCATGCCGCGTTCAGACTCAGGAAGCGCCGCGGCATCCTCACGCGGAGCGCTACTGCGCGTCCCAACCATTGCTTTCTTTCTCCCTGCGAAAAATCTCAACTGACTGGTCCGAGCGATTTGGCGCAAAAGTTACCTCTAATCTTCGATTTTTCATCTAAATGATTGCTTCAAACTGTCAGAGTACATACCAAAAATCGAGAAAACGGAGAGTGGTACGCCAACCTGTACCCTCTGGAGAAAGGCGATTCGGATCTTTTCTTGCTTCAATCTGTTATATAAAAATTTGTTTACCGAAGGATGTGCAAACTCCAAGACCATAGTGAAAGCAAGCTTATATTTACTTATGCTGTATATATAGCATTAGCCCCCCTTATCGGGGCAACTTCCCGACCCCTAACGCAGCTTATACATCTTCCGGGTTGAAGGGGTTAAGAATGCCAACCGGCTTAACGCGATCAATTTGTTATGCCTGGTCAAAGTTCCTATGGAGTGTATTAGCTAAGAAAGGCTAATCTACAAAAAGAGAACTCTCCGAATTCAGTGAGTGCCAAATTTCAAATGTCGCAAGAAATAGGTGAAATTAAAGGAGTTTGAATCATAAGATCTCAGCTGAGATTAGATTTCCAAGCCACAAGCACACGACGGTGAGCAACGCACCGTTGTTGCATTATTATTAATAATACAATACCTGCTTCATCATCGAGCCACATCAACAGTTGCACTGCATATTCGACCGCGTCCTCAGCGGAACTACATAATCTGCTCGTCAAAAAGCGGCACTACCTAAACATTGAGCCCAACTTACGTGACAGCGGTCGCTACGCCCAGGACAGTGGCGAAAATTTCATGTCAACGATGGAATCAAACCCTATCAAGCACGACAGAATTTCGCGATGGACGAGCTCATCGTAGACCGGTTCATCTGTACCAATAAGGTACATGTATAAAAATCTTGATTATCGGTATATCGGCGAGGGAGGCTGCATCACCGCCCTGTTTCTATACCCTAACCTTGTTTCGCCTTTTTTCTGAAAACCGGAAATGATGAGTATCGGCTTGAAGTGCACTTGTACTATGCAAACTGTATTTTCGAGTAAACCTCGTCTCCAAGAACTCATTTCACAAATTGCATTCAACCCAACGAGTGAAAAAAAAAAAATAAGTCAGGTGATTTTTGGAAACTGCCATGCGTTTGAGAACCACGATGTTTATCACTGCGGCCACGCTTTTCGCCAGCTACTTTCAAACTACCGGCGCGTTAGTTGAGGCCTCTGATGTGGTCTCCACGACTGCAGGCGAAGCAGTGGAGGCGGAACACGGTGACAAAATATTTCCACAGACGGAAAGCAAAACTACCGGCCTGGAGGGCAAGCTTGTAACGAGACAGCTATCGACGCCGGGGAATTCCATTGAGAATACTGCAATACAATTGTCGCCGTACGAAGGTCAGGATGCTCAGAACGACAAAGCAGCTACTGACAAGGGCCCGTCATCTCTGAGCGACAGAATCGAGTCTGTCCGACTGATTGTCACCATGAATCTAGTATGGGACGAGCTTGCTGAAAAGTTTTATAAGAAATTCAGAGATGAGAAGTGGAGTTTGGATGAACTCAAGACCAAGCTTGGAATCGTAGAGGGCATGTCACCAGACTCCGACGAGGAACACGCCTTGACTTCGATACTTATGTTTGCCATGTACGAGGATATCGTTATCAAAGCCACAGATGATGACTTGCTGACCAACGGAATCGACATTCTGACGAAACTCAGTGAAGATTCTCCCGCTATTACGTTCTTTGGGCAGTACGTGGGCGGAACGCTGACGCAGAAAGCACTCAAGAAGAAGCTGGGCATCACAGGGGTTACCCCGAAATCCTCAGAGAAGTACCAGGCTTTCGAACTGCTGGTGGACGCTCGTGTGTTTTACGACAACCTCGAGAAAATTGAGATCGATCCTCTCAAAAGCAGCATCCTAAAGATGACGACGATGACTAAGAATCCACTTGTTGACAAGTTTTATGACCAATTCATGAATGAAAAGTGGACCACGAAGAAACTCGTATCCAAGTTGGGAATCACAAAGCACACAGCCGCGGATTCGGAGAAGTACGACGCCCTGTCGTCGTTGGTTCAAGGCCGCATGTACGTGCATGGTGTCACGAACGCAAAAACTCTGATTTCTAAAAACAAGACCAAGACGTTTTTGACGAAGCTTCACGGTAACGAACTGGCTCAAAAATACCTTGGACAGTTTATGGCTGGATCGTTGAAGGAGACGTCTCTAAAGGCTGAATTGAAAGTGACGAAGAATACTCCAAAGGACTCGGATGAGTACGAGGCTGCCGCGCTACTGACCGAGGCTCGCGAACTCAGCGATACCTTCATGTAAGATTTAGTGAACATGATACTAGATCTAGTATTACTAGGAGAAATACAGTATTGGTATTTTGCTTCTTCGAGCTAAGTAAAATACATAAAGATAACTGTTGTTGATGGACAAATTAATTCGTTAAGGGCTACATTAGCAGCACTACCTTTCGATCGTTAATAGACATGGATTTGAGATCCATCATGCTCCAGAAGAAATTTCTGTTGCATCTCTTGGAGGTGGCGAAGCTTCGTTCCCACTGACCCTCGGACGTACTCCTGAGCTGGAGCGAAGGCCTCTTCAGACATCGGAGCCGAAGATTGCGCACCAAACTGACAAAAGCTCTGGACGACAGAAGCGTTGTGCGGATCCGTTGGAGATCGAGTTACGATCGTCCACACGTTATCTTGAAAGTGAATTCCCTCAGCTGGTAGGAACCACGTAGCTGCACTGACGAGAACGACGCGGTCTCTATCAATGTACCTGCGTACAAAGTTAAGCCCGTCGATGCGCACAGTGTTGTACAAGTCTAGCTTACAACTCCTTGCCAACGAATTGAAACACTTCGCTCGCATCTATCAGAATAAGAAGGTTACATCGTTAGACACAGTATCCGTGAAAGTGGCTGCAAGTATGCTACTTGTACTTACGAAACGAGGCACCTTCTCCTGGTCTTGTGATTCTTTGGTAGTCCCTTTCCATACGATTTCAGCTGCAAGATGCAGAGAACACGACATGGGTGTGGTAGTCGTCGTTTCGATGTATGTGCCAAGAGGGTCACTGAATTTGTCCTGTGAGAAGAAGGAGACTGGAGGCTGAGTCTGCAGCGGTGGGAACAGCGAATTCGTGCGCAAGTATAACGTCGCTGCAGTCATCTCCAGTTCTGCGATAACAGCGTCGCTGATATCGATGTTGAGTTGCGGGGAACGGCTGATACCTGTAGACTCTGCTATGGGTTGGAGACGGCATAACAGTTCCATTCCCTAGTTAAACAGCAAAATAAGTAAACATCAATATTATCGTGCGGGATGATAGTACGAACCTCCAGTGTGTCTTTCCGTCCGAGCAACTTGCAAACGGACTGCTCGAGCTTTCGCTGGCGAGCTAATATCACCTTCAGCTCGCGGTTTGTCTGTTCTGAGCGCTGGCGTTCTTGGCATTGCACAATGGCGAGGTCTTCCCAAACGGATAGAAATTCCTTCGGCTTCTTGGGACCGTGTACTATCTCCGCTGTGTTTGTCGCATCACGTCGAGTGCGTTGTAGTTGCTCAAGTCTGGCAGTTAATTCAAGCACTTGCTGCCTCAAAGCCAGTACTTGGCTTCGTTGTAGGCGCTGGAACTTTGTCGACTGCGGAATTGTACCCAGTCGTTTTGCCTTTTTCTTCCGCTGGCTGGATGTCACAGGAGCGAAGCTTGAGAGAGCAGATTCGAGAAGAACTGGAGACGGAATGGTATTTGAGTCCCCACTCGAAGTTTCGTAAGCTACACTACTTGTTGACTCGCTGTCGCTGCTGTTAAACGTTTCAATGAAGGCGAACACTTCCGACAGTACAGAGTCGTTATTTCCATCTAAAGAGTCTCGACTCATGGTAGGAAGTTGTTGGAATATGGACGAATCGAAAGTGCTCGCAGTAAAAGGCCACTCCCCGCCTCGAGAACTGATCCGGGTGAGCTGGACGACTGGCGGGGCATGTGCCAGGTCCTCGTGATGTTTACGGGGAGCAATAGATTATGCATGCCCAAGATTGATCTTGTTGGATTGTGACATCTGGAGGGACGGTACAGTTTTGGGTGGAAATTCTCAAAGTGTATTATTTCAAAGTTGAAATTCAACTCGTTTACCACACGCTAGATTTGCTCGTTCAGTGCTTGTTGGTTGGAGGAATGACTATCGTTCCAGCAGCGCCCCAGTTGCCAACGTTGATGTCCTCTAGCACCACATACACGCGCTCAGCAGCAACACCCAGCTGTTCCGATACAGTCTTCGTCAACATTGCGATCGTTTTAGGGTTCTTCTCGGCGACGTTGCCGATCGTACGGGCGTGCACATACGCGGCGGGCTACGCAGTAGAACGAGGTAGCATTAGGAGACCATAAAACGCTTGTAGATGATTAGAAAGACGTACCTCGTCGTTGAAATTCAGGACCATAGGAACCCCCAAGTTCATCTCCACCATCATGAACTGGGTAGGGACCCCCCACGCCTCGTTTAGAGTTTTGGCGACGGCAATGCTTGCGGCGGCGGTATCTACGCTGTCCTTAGCGACGTTGCTATTGATGCGAGCATACGGCATGGTTATCGGGAGCTCTAGGAGCGTCAGGCTTATTGCAAATTCAAAAGTGAAATGCATTACTGTAGTGTATGATACCATGCTGGAGTTAATGACGTAGTTCGCTTACGGTTAAGTGCTGATTACGGTTCCAGGTTTTGCATACGTGGGCACCAGGACAAAGTACCGGTTGTGTATAGCAATCAAACGGGAGTAAAAGTAATTTTCTGAAAAATGTTTTTTATTATTATTTGTCGGTATAGTTTTTGAGCTCCAATTTGCGTTTGTGCTCGTCCACTTTCTCTTTGACGACTCGGTCGACGAGTTTGAGCGTCACGGCTACTTGGTCCTGTGCGTACACAATACTCTGCATGTATAGCATCATCTTAGCGATCTCTCGGCCACTCATACCCGACGTCATGTCTCCGTACTGCGTCATGACACTCGCATCCAGCACAGGAGGCAACGCACTGACCGACGCCTTGTCGACTTTACCCTTCAACGTCACCGTATCAGGAGGGGCAGCCAGGTGAGCGACATACTCGTTAAAGTACATTTGCAACAGCCGCACACGCTCCTTCGTCTCCGGTAAATCAAAGTGCAGCGTGTCATCGATTCGATCCGTCACTGCCGTATCCAGATCCTCCGGTCTGTTGGTCGCTACGACCAACATGAACTTTTTAGACTGCGTTCCTGTATGGTACAGTAAGGCATTCAACGCATTCCTCATGGCTTCACTCATGTGGGTTTTGCGTGTGGCTCTACAGCCAAGGAAAGCTTCTGCCTCATCAATGAAGATCAGTACGCCTCGTGGGGATGAATTAGCCCATTTAAAGAGCGCATGGAGCTCTGTAACAGCGTCCGACCCCAATGGACCCACGTCTCCGCCACTCAGAATAGCGTAGTCCATTCCTGACGCCCTTGCCAGACGCTTAGCTACCATCGTTTTACCCGTTCCAGGAGGCCCATAGAGCAGTAAATGGCGATACGGAGCGCCATGGAGCATCGCATTGCGCGTCGAGCGGGCGATCTCAAGCACGCGCGTCTCTAATGAGCTTCTTAGCACCACGTCGGCCAGTTCATCTTGCCCTTTAGCAGGTTTTTGACTGATCAGAGCACGTAAAAAGCCAAATGCGCCAGAAGATCGAGACGTCTCCCGAATGAGGGAAGGTTTCCCTAGTCGCTGTTCGATCAGCTTCCCGATGATCCGGATAGCTTCTCTACTGAGGTAAATTCCCGCAGCTAAGGCCACAAACCCACCCACAAATTTGGTGAGTTTCTGTTTATCGGCTAAAAGCACCGAAATGCCCTGGCCAAGGTTGTCGAACGTCGCCTGCAGCGCTTGCATGAGCTTAACGCGGTCTGCCTCGAGTCGCTGCTGCAGTTGAGCCATCTCAATGTCCTGATTGGCTCGTTGCTGACGGATTCGGCCTTCCACGTCGATCGCCGCCTTCTCTAGCGTCGTATTCCGCTCCAACAAAGCACGCGCATGGTCGGCGGCTAGTTGTTTCTCCTTAAGAACCTCCTCCGTCTCGCGTCTGGCTCGCTCAATGCGGACATTCGACTCTTCTTGGAGCTGCACGAGGTCGCGGTTCTGATCTCGTCGGGCCGCGTCTTCCTCTTGCATGCGCTTGTGCTCCAACGCGTGCTTCTCGCTCTCCACCTGCAGCTCATGGTCTCGTTTTAAGTCCAGCGTCTTGCGTTCTTCCTCTCCACGCACTCTGGCTTCCTCAATGAGCTTCTCCGTCTGAGCCAACTCCGCTTCAGCAATCAGTCTCTTCTGTACAAGTTGTACACTGGCTTCTTGCTCTAGATAACCTTTTAACTCGTCGATCTTCTGCTGTTGCGCGACTGTCAGTTGTTTGAGTGCTAGGATCTCCTCCTCTTGACGGTTAAAGTTGAGAAGGAGCTGCTGGGTGGCTCCCAGATTGTGCATATAGAGAGCGTCCTTGTCTACCACGTGGAAATTCTGCAACGCGATCTTGCCGCGACCATCGCGGTCGAACACGTAGCGTTCGGGTAGAACTTGCACCACTTCGGGAGCTATAGAACGTAGTTCAGGGCCCAGCACCCCCAATAGTGTAGTTCGACCTTCCACCGAGTCGTATTTGAACTCGTATCGCTTGAGTGAGAGCTTGCTTAGGAGTTCTAGACTTTCGGAGACGTTGGCATCTTGTATATTTTGTAACGCGTCCTTGTACTGTTCCACCGTCACGTTGGTCGTGAATCCGCCGCTTTTTCGAGAATTCCGGTACGAGCTTCGACCGCTGGAAGGAGATGCAGCGACGAGGGCAACGAGCAGGAGTAGTAGATACTGCCCATAGTGGTGGGAGCTACGGCGTTTGCTTGTCATGCTGGACGAAGATGTGCTACTGGAGATTCTAGAGTGACCCTTCGAAAAGATACGTTTCTAAGGAATTGTGCTAAAAACAATAAACTATAGACTGTTTCTTGTTCAGATCGAGTATTTTAACTACATGTACAAGTATTAATATATGCTTTGGTGGCAAGGTTATCTACCTTCGTTTCATATTTCCTTTTCTGTTAAGGTGCTTTACAGTCTGCCACCTCTAACGAATAAGAAAATAGATGACCCGTTCATGATGCTCCGTAGGCGGTCACAGGAATTGAAAAAGTGGTGTAATGAACGCAAGAGTCTATACTGAAATCAGGCAGAACTGAGGTTGTGAAGCAGGAGATGATATGCTTTGGCACCTGATTTCCCAACCTTCAAGATCTGGCTGCATATATTGTGCTAAATATCAGAGTCAGGGAATATATTATTCTTATCATCATGCACTTTTTTATACCAAGCCACTCCATAATCAAACGGACTCCGTCATCGGATGAGCTAAACCACTACAGTTCAGCACTCCATAATCAAACGAACTCCGTCATTTGTCATGAACAAGTACTTCGAGGTAGCTGGCAGAGTCCTTGGAGAATTCATTTTCAGTTTCAACTAGCTCAACACACCCCCATTATTCCTCGTTCCTCCAGCGACTACGCAATGGCTTCCACCGCTCCTAAGACCATCAAGGCGTACGCGGCTTTCGATTCCACTGGAGAGTGCAAGCCCTGGAAGTACACTTCGCGTCCATTGGGAGACGCCGACATTGAGGTCAAAATCTCGCACTGTGGCATATGTGGTACGGACGTGCACACCCTGGACAGCGGCTGGGGCCCAGCCAACTACCCTGTGGTAGCTGGTCACGAGATTATCGGTGAAGTGACGATGGCGGGCCCCAATGTCAAGAACATGACAGTGGGTGACCGTGTGGGTGTTGGTTGTCAGGTGTGGGCCTGTCTGAACAAACAGGGCCACGAATGTCGTGACTGTGCTGCTGGCCAGGATGCGTACTGCAATGACATCGTCTTCACGTACAACGCGAAATACAAGGACGGCACTCCCACGTACGGCGGATACGCCGAGTACATTCGCCTGGACAGCGACTTCGCTTTCAAGATTCCGGACAATATCCCATCGGCCGAGGCGGCTCCTCTGCTGTGTGCAGGCGTTACGGTCTTCGGTCCTCTTAACCGTGAAAACATCAAGGAGGGCGACCGCGTCGGTGTTATCGGTATTGGCGGCCTCGGTCACCTAGCCATTCAGTTCATCCATGCTCTGGGTGCCACCCCCATCGCTTTTTCGCGGTCAGCTTCGAAGGAGAAAGAAGTTCGCGGTCTGGGAGCCGAGGAATTCTACGACTTGAGCAACCCTGAGCACCAAAAGAAGGCCGCCGAGTCGGTCGATATGCTGTTGCTCACGGCCGATGCCCCTGATATGCCCTACAACTTGTATCTCGGGCTTATCCGGAAGCGCGGGACTCTAGTACAATTGTCCGTACCGAACGGAGAAGCCAAGTTCCTGCCGTTCTTCGTCGTTGGCAGGGGCATCAAGTGGATGGGAAGCTTTATCGGCAGCCTGCAGGACGTCAAGGACATGTTGAAAGTGGCATCGGAGAAGAACGTTCGTCCGGTGATCCAGAAACTGCCCATGAGCAAGGTGAACGAGGGTCTTAATATGGTTCGCCAAGGCCGGGCACGCTACCGTGTCGTGTTGGAGAACTAAGCCGGGGTTGTTCACCGAGTTTTTGACTCGAGTCAGAAGTAGTTTCGACTGGATGTGTCTTACCATTAGGTCGCGGCTTTTTTCCGATGAGGTACACCTCATGAATACAAGAATGAATGAAATCCAAGCATTCATTTGTTTTGCGCAAAGTAAGGCACACTATTTTCCATCCAATGTCGGCTGCAGGTATTCTACACTAGTAAGTGACGGGTCAGTATTAAGGCACACTGGACGAGGGAACGTGTCGGTGTGTTGCAATTGTTTACGTTTTTGTTTTGAGAGGCTACATGTATAACTCGGACTTCATTTCCGTAACCTGGCCATTTGACTCGGAAGCGACTCTTTTCGTCATCAATTCTTCGCCAACACCGACGTCACCTTGATCGTGTCGGTACCCGTCGGCTGCGTGAGGTACACGTCGAAGGGTGCTTGATCGCAGGTAAGATCCGCATGGCAGAAACCCAAATCGGCCTCCGCGTCCACCTCGCAGCCAACCACATCATAGTGAAAGAGCGTATCTTTCCCAGCATTGGGGTTCGGAGCGTTAAGTGTGCTGCCACCCGTGCTGCCTGCCTGTTCACCGGCCATTTCCAAGCTGAGAGTATCCTTAACACAAATAAGGGTGGTGATGCCGGGGCTGTACGACTTCACATCCTTCAGCGCCGAGTACAACCGCTGCTTATCGATCTCGTCCATGGTGGTTTTGATCCACCCTTCGTTGGCGTTTTGGGCGGACGAAAGGGCTAGCAGTGCCAAGCCGAAGACATACGAAGCGAGGACACGAGTGGAGACCATTTCGTCAGTTGTGTAGTTGTCGTCTGGGTCAGGACTTGCTGGGAAACGAAAAAATGTGAAAGTGAGGGTTTGGCGGGATTGCGTTTACTAGCACGCATGCTTTTGACGATGTATACCCACGTGGTTATCATCATTCTATACTTAAATGAGCAACAACGCGCAGAATCTGCGCCGCGTGAATGGACCGTTCAACGAATTGTTAATAACGACAAATATGTTGACAAGAAATGGGATAAATCTCGGATGGGAGTCCGTAGATGTTGACGCCATATCACTAAACACGCCGATTTATAAATGTCTGAAATTTTGCGCGATTGATTTCTAGACAACCTACTGGTAACCAGAGTTCTTGGTTGCACCACAAAACTCAGTCGATATCGAGGCTGGCCACCATATCTGATGAGTCGCGCTATTAGTCTGATCACGTTCAAACTGTGAAGTTAAAGACAGCGCATCTACGGCACGATAATTACCTGATGTAAACATTGAGCTCCAATAAACAACACTTCCAAATATCGATATCGCGCTATCACTGATGTCTCAACAAAAAAATGGATGATTTATCTATCGCTATCATTGATGTCTTCAATTTTAAACGCGTTCTTTATGCGACGAGTTTATCTGCGGAGCAGCATAGACAAACTATCACAAACAGCACAGACTTCTTCAGGTTTGAGCATTGAATTAATTCCAAAAGGGGCCTCGTGCCATTTCTTCCTATTCATCCCTACGAGGGTGGACACGAAACCTCAGGTTCTACTGGATACGCTGAACGGCTCATTCGACGTTAGTACAAAGTGGCGATATTGTTGTATTGTAAGTGCCGACTCGCTTCGGGGGAGTAATTAAAGGGAAGCATGCAGACACCCCCACTGGGACAGCTGGAAGTGTTATCGTCTCTAGACCATGGTTGTGGATGAATGGTCGAGGGGGCATGCTAAATCGGAAACAACTGGCTCATCGAATGGTAATTATCAAGGGGCCCATTTGGAACTTCTTCTTCTTCTTCGTGAGCTTTAGCCATGCCCACCGCTCAGCGTGGCTGGAGCTCAAGATATGCAAATAACGGTGGCATCCAATAAGGAATGCGAACTGGGGCTTCGTTACAGCTGGAACCGTAAGGTAACTGCCAATCCATGCATGGTCACCAGTAATACGAGAAACAAGCGGGTATGATTATACGGAGTTAGCCGAGTCTAGAATGCTACAAGCAGCTTAATGAACTAGTATACAAGTACATGTATTACGTCTGAACAGCACTTATTAATGTATCCAAATAGTTTTGAGATTGGTCGGATTATTTCACAATAAGCGTTGACGAAAGTGCTGATGCCAACG